TTTGCATGTCTTAGCGGTTAGACCATTGACCACGCGTCCTCGAGAGGACGGAGCATTGTTCCCACAGGACCGATCACCGATGGCCAATCGTTCCTTTCTACTTTGCCAAAGGTGGCTCAAAAATGTCTTCCCTAGTCTGACTATCCTGACGATTTCCTTCCCGCCTTTTCAACCCACCTCCTATGCCCCACTACAGCTACCGTCCTTTCCTCTCTATTCCATGCCTCGAACATCTCCCTGTACGTCCCATCTATTTTTCCCAGCTCAGTCACGTACACTTCCCTCTCCTTCTTGTACCACGGACATTCCGCGACTACATGAACACGGTCTTCGCATTCGAAGCCGCAATCACATTTGATTTCGTCGTCTTCGTCGCCTACCGTCCTATGTCTTCGTCGACGATCTCGAAGGCCTATGTCCCCGGCCCTGAATATGACCTTAAGCTTTGTTCCTGCATCCATTGGTCCATGTTGGTAGTCCTTGAACCCTATTCCTTCCTTCAACATTCAGTGCACTTCTAGACCCTCCTTATCCTTGGATTCTTTCCATAGATTCTGTTCTTCTCTCTCGGCACAAGCAACAGATATCTTCTCCTTGAACCCCTGTAGACCCTCCGTGGGGGGGGTGAGGGCTACAGAGTGGGAACAAAGACTTCGAAGAAACCAAAAGAAACCTCCAGGAAATGATGATGGCAAAGGACAGAGCGGCAGCCCCCCTCCCGCCGCCATTTCCCTCCTGCCTCCGGCAACGCCGATCACAACGCCGATCACAAAAAAAACATACCAAGCAAGCGCCTCGGTAACCCCCCCCCCCCCCCCNCCCCCGGCAACAACAACAACCACAAAAAAACAACAACAACAAGCAAGCGCCTCCGGCCTCTGATGGCCGCCTCCCCACACACCTTAGCGACCGCGATGACCCCCGCGAAGACCACCATGAACCTCGCCAGGAACAACACCACCGGATTCCACCGGAAGGCCACCCCTAGCGCTTCTCGCACGGCGTAGTAGACGCCGAAGTTCAGCAGGAAGCCGCGGACGCACGCAATGATGAGCCCGGCCGCGACGGGGAAACGCTTGAGGGTGAACGGGGGCACCGAGTACAGGCCGCCGACCAACAGGCCCAGGGAGTAGAGGCGGAAGATGAGGGGGCTGAAGGAGGTGTAGACGATGGCGGGGCCTGCCGCGAGGCTGACCAGCACCAATGCCCAGGCCAGGCGCTTGCTGATCTCCCCCGACGCCACCGGGAGCTCCGGCTTGTTGATCTGATCATGCCCGCGGCAGGGGGGGGGGGGGG